GTCTCTGCCCAAACCGAGGGGAATTCTCGTAGCCATCTGTCTATATTATCCTCTCTCGGGAGCGCCTCCTGGTGGAGGAGGTATTCATCCTCCAGTTTCATGGTCAGGACCTGGACGGGGTGGCCCTTGCCATCGGTGACCTGAGGCCCCCCTTGTCTGAAAGTTATCTGAGCTCCAATCTTGGTCAGTAAGTCCCGTCCTAACAGCGGGTAGGGGCATTCTGGTATTACCATAAAGGAGTGGGATACCCCGCCCATTCCCAAATCTACTGTTCTTTGGGTAGTCCATGAATACTGGCTCATACCAGTTGCCCCTTGTACCCAGGACTTCTTGCTGGCTAGTTTTCCTTGTGGGGTGCAGAGGACCGAATGTTGTGCTCCGGTGTCGACAAGGAAGTCAACAGGGGTCCCCTCCACTTTAAGAGTTACCCTGGGTTCGGGGAGAGGGTCCAAACCCCGACTTCCCTAATCACTTAGTTCATCTAGCTCTAGGACTTTTACTTGATAAGTCTTGCTTCCCTTCCCACCGGCCCTTTTTGGACAATCTCGGGCCCAATGCCCTATCTCCTTGCAGTATGCACACTGATCCTTCTGCAGCCTCTGCTTTCCCCACTTGGTGGTTCCTTTACCTTTTCTTGCATCATCTGCCAGCTGCCGGAGACGGCAGTCTCGTTCCTTGGGGGAGTCAGCAGTGGTAGCTAGTAGTATTCTGGCCAGGTCTCAAGTCTGCTTACTGCTGGCAGCCGCCATGGCACGAGCCTGCTTGTCCTCAGGAGGCTCCCGGTTATTATATACCTTTTCGGCTACCACCAGTAAGTCCTGCAGACTTTTTTCTCCTAGTCTATCTATTTTCTGTAATTTTCTCCTAATGTCTATGGCCGATTGGTTTACAAAGGCCATGATAACAGCTGCCTTGCTTTCTGGAGCCTCTGGATCCATGGGGGTATAGGTACGGAATGCCTCCATGATCCGTTCTAAAAAGGCAGCCAGAGATTCATCTTTTCCCTGTTGTACATTTCCTACCTTGGCCAAATTGGTTGGCTTTCTAGCAGCCATTCGGAGACCCCCCATTAGAGTCTGGCGGTAGACCCGGAGCCTCTCCTTACCTTCTGCCATGTTGAAATCCCACTGGGGCCGAGTTAAGGGGAAGGAGGCATCTATCTGAGCCTGGTTGGTGGTGGGATTTCCGTCTGCGCCTGGAACTAGTTTTCGGGCCCCACTGAGGATTCTTTCTCTTTCTTCAGTCGTGAACAGGACCTGCAAAAGCTGCTGGCAATCATCCCACGTGGGCTGATGGGTAAAAAGAACAGAGTCTAATAAATCAATAAGCCCTGCCGGTTTCTCGGAAAACTTAGGATTCTGAGCTTTCCAATTGTAGAGGTCACTAGTGGCGAAAGGCCAATAGTGATGGGGCTGATTCCCCTCCGCGTCTGGGGGTCCGGTGGCTCGCAGGGGCAGAATAGTGGAGTCAGCGGTGGAGGCGGATTGCTCCCTCTGAGCCCTTTGTCTGGTAAAGGGCGGGCTTCCCACTGGAGCGTTTCAGCCTCCCGCTCTCGGAACAGCGTCTGCCTCCCCTGGAGGGGGAGGATGGTGTTCTTCCGGCATCCTAGAGGGGTTATACGGGGGAGGAAAAATTAATTCTTCTTCAGTACCCCCTGGTAAGACAGGGTAGAGGGGTGCTGAAGGCTGGGTAAGACTTTTCTTCTTCTCTGTCTCCTGCAAAGCAAGAATGGGTTTTGGCTCCGGAGGGAGCAGGGTTAGGAAGGGCTTAAGCCAAGAGGGTGGGTCTTCTACAAGGTCCTGCCAAGTGATAATGTAAGGGAGCTGATCAAGATGGCCCGCCTTAGGCTGAGAGATGATACTCCTGACTCGGTGGATGGTAGGGAGGTCGAAGGTCCCCTCTGGTGGCCATCCGACATTGAAAGTTGGCCACTCGCTAGAACAAAAAAACTGCCTTCGACCCTTTTAGACTTCCACACTGAGGTTGTTAGCTCTTCCCCTCACATCCTTAAAGTGATCAATCATAATACTTAGAGGAGTAGTCTGAGTCTGTCCCATAACGTCCGTCCAGTAAGTCCACAGAACAAAACAGAGAAACACAAAAACAGACAAACAGAGGGCCCCTAGAAAGTCTTCCAACTCCATGGAAGCAAAACTGCAAGCTAGCTTAGACCTTTGAGGGGATTCCATGTCCCTCCAAAACTGACGAGGGGATTCCACGTCCCTCCAAAGACGACGGCCTCACGCCGACCAGCGCGAGCGACCCGCCTCGTCTCAGAACTTTGAGGGGATTCCACGTCCCTCCAAAACAGATGAGGGGATTCCACGTCCCTCCAGAAGGGAGGATCGGAATGTCTTCCAAAACTCCCGGCCCTTGGTCCTCCAGTGCCTCCACTTAGACTGCTTCGGGCACTACCAGAATTCCAGAAATGAGCTCACACAGAAAAGACAGAACAAACAGACAGACACTAACCATGGCCAGTCAGGCTCTCCAGGTCGGGGGGTCCGTCGGGGGTCTTGGGGATCCCGGGTCGAGCCCCCAAATGTAATGCCCAGAATTCGTGATCCCCAAAGACCGCCAGGGAGCCGAGTCCAATGCAAAAGCAAAAGAGCCTTTATTCGAGCTAGCTCGAGCTCAATCCCCTACCTGCACCAACGCAGCGGTGAGATACCAGGGAGAGAGAGCGAGTTTCAAAAGGACAAACGTTTTATTGGGGTCTAGGGGCAGTTGGTGAGGTAATGGCTATGGCCTCAGCTGATTGGCTGGGGAAGGGTGGGAGTCCTGTTAGGCAGGTGAGGGGGGGGGTTACTCAGGGGAGGAGGTGTGGTCAAGGTGAAGGACACAGAACAAGATGGAGAGTCAGCCGGCGTAGGCCCACCCTTTCATGATCACCGAATATATTTCACCTGTGTCTACTGAAAAGACAATCTGTTTCCCATTGTCAGGTTTTACCTAAGACATCAATGGGGGGATCTGAAGTGGGCGGTCCAAGTGGGTGCTCTTCACTCCTAGGCATTGAGGGTGGGAGGAGCAAATGGTGCCTGAGGCACTGAGGATGGTATAGGAACCAGTTATGTAGGCCATACCCAAGGTGGTGCAGAAACAGAAAGAAGGGGAGAGAAAGGCAAAAGAGGTGAGATGCCAGCAGAAGGAATACAAAGAGAATCCCCAGTTCTAAACCTTGTATTAGACAGGTTCTAAACCTTATCTAGGGAACAGGAACAGACATCATGTCTCCCCCCCCCCCCAACCAACTAGTGGAATTAGGCAGTCCATGTCAGGCAAGAAAAGATAGGGAACTGCCCCCCAAAAAGTGGAGTTTCAGCAGCTGCTTGGAAATATTCCTTACAGTACCCATCCTGAGGTAGACTAACCACAATTGGTTCCAATTATCAGGGCCATTAACATGGGAGATGAATGAAGGAGAAGACCTCACATCTATTAGGGGAATGAACAAAGAGAAAAGATCATCATCCCCTTTGTTAGGGATGGCCTATGTTTCTTCCGGTGCCTGAGTTCTGTCAGTGATGTGGGAACAAAGACAGAAGGAAATGGCAGATAAAATTAAATTTCCTTATAACCTGCTTGAGGAAGGCAGAGTAAAACTTTTCTCTAGGAACTCCCTACTGTCTTACTGTCAATGCTTTGCTAGAGGGAAAAACAACCTAAGCTTGACAATTGCTATTCCTCCAATTAGTCTTCTTTAGCATATGAAAATCTCTTTGGAACCTTCCCCTTGACTTTAGCTCCCCCCAACTCTCAAGTATATAATCAGTCTCTCCTCAGGGTCCCAGGGTAGTTCTTCCTTCCCATGGGTCCTGTCCCCACACTTCAATAAAATCACCTTTTTTTTTTTTGCATCAAAAATGTCTCAAGAATTCTTTCTTGGCCATCAGCTGCACACCCACCATCACCCCAAAACCTCATCATCAGGAGGTTATTTAAATAATTATCATTCAATATATTAGGAGGGAGTTTACAGACTTGATTACTGACAAAACATGTTCTGCAAGAGGTCCTTGGGTCCAGGGAGAGCCATGAAGGCCTGGACCTAAGGTACCTCTGTCCATTTGCCCTGTTTACTAAGACCATGCAGTATTACAAGGAGATCAGTCCTTTTCTACATTTTGTAATCTAAATTATTTCCAGTGGGTTAAAAAAGCATCCCAAGGGAGAGTCCTTGGAGACTGAAGAGAAGCTCCCATGTTCCTCCTAGAGAGAAAGAGAAGGTCCATTACCATGAGAATCCACCCTCCCTCTCTCTGCCACCCCCTCAACTCCTGGGTGGCATCCCACGCACAGGATATGTCAGAGGTTCCTGGTGTCAAAACAACCTGAGGCATCCCTCTAATGAAGTCACTATGATCACTGACCAGCCTTTAAGGGCCCCTGAGGAGGGATGATAGCATCCCCCCTGCTTTCCATTGCGTTCTAAACTACAGATTGGTGCCTGAGTATGGTCCAAGTTTGCCTTGCTGAGAAGGCCATGAGGAAACCACCGTTTTTAAACCATGGAAAGTACTGGAAAAGTTTTATAAGGGGGAATTACCAAATTTTGTAATTTTAGTTAGTAGAGGACATTGATAGAAATCATCACAGATAGAAATCCATCATGATCTAAAGTGACATTCCAGCACATATAGTCTTTACAGCCAGCTTCCTAGAAAACTGTTCCTTGTTGGGTTTTAATTCAATCAGGTACTTGTTTCAGCCAGCTCCCAGGAGAGTGGCCAGATCAGGGATATGCCGGGAATCACATTAGACCAATGAGGAGGAAATCTCACATGGGAGTCTTAAGATTGGTAGCTGTCCTGATAACTTAGGTTGCTGTCCCGTGCCCAAGACAGACAACTTTGCATAAGGACAGGAATAAAGAGAGGGCATCAAGTTTCTGGGCCTCATTAAACATTCTGGCCAGGGTACTAACTTCCAGCCTAAAGGCAGGCTTTCTTTTCCCCATAGAGTAGCCACAGGCCAAAGGATTGCCTGAGCAATTGACTTGAACGTGTTCCAATAAGACCATACTTCTTGAAAAGCCCCTGAAATGAGAGTAAAAGAGGAAAAGAGAAAGTACTCACCAAGTTTGCATTGGTTCAAAGTCCAGATGAAAAGACTCAAAGCCTCACAAAAGGACACCAAATGATAAAGTTTTGGGTGATTGTGGGGGTTCAAACCTGATGGCCAAGAAAGAATTCTTGAAGATGTCTTTGGTGCAAAAAGGTGATTTTATGAAAGCATGGGGACAGGACTTGTGGGCAGAAAGAGCTGCACTGGGGTTGTGAAGAATGGCTGGTTACATACTATGGACTTGGGGGAGGTTAAGTCCAAAGGGAAGTTTCCAAAGGGACTTTTATATGCTAAAGATTCATAGATTACTGGAGGCCTAGATATTGTCAAATTGAGGTTGTTTTTTCCTCTAGCAAAGTATTAACATTAAGACAGTAGGGAGGGAGTTCCTGGACTTTAGGCTATTGATGGGATTGTCTTTTTCTTGTAAACTGGCAGAGACTTTTACTGGTTTAACCATTTTTTTGTCCTTTCCTGTTTTGGGGCAGCTAGGAGTGTCTGAGGAATATCATATATATCCCACCTGGGGGGCGGGTGTATGTTCTAGCTTGTACTTCGCACTCAGCCTGTCTTATGTGGGTAATCATCAAGATTACCACTAACTGGAAAATTAACATTTGTGTTTCTTCAGTCATTGTAAAATGATAGCTTATAATGTAAAATGGTAGCTTCAGAACAAACTAAGCAACTATGGAAAATAAATGTGTAGCCAGAAAGAGTTAGGAGTCCCCAGAAAAAGAAAGATAGACATAGATTTTGTGACACAGGAGAAGTCATTTTAGACTCCCAGCTATTTTCCACAATTTATGTTGTACTGGCACTTTTTGCCTGAGCACACTTCTTGTAGAACTTCCTAGGAGGTGTTAGAACAAAGAAATGCAAAATCCTCAGTAGTTAAGGATTTTAAGTGAACAAAGGGAATGTAAAAACTAGTTTCTACCTGGCTAGGAAAATAAATCAGTGGCAAAACTCCCAATGCTGTTTTAAGAGTAAAGATTGACCTAATACATGTTCTTGAGTTGTTTTTATAGGATTTAAACCATACATTATAGGAGTGATGGGGTTAAAACTGTCATAAGCAAGATTACCATTGACCAACACCCCCACCCTTCTTCACAAAAATATTAACTTCAACCTTTATAGGCAAGCAACAGGAAGAGCTGCAGTGTCCTACACCAGTTTGAGCTGGACCACTGACTTACACCTGCGCAAATGGACAATGGAGGGTCTTGACAATTACCTCTACCTCATTATAATGTTTAAAATCTTCACCTCTCCACTGAAGGAGGAGCATAAACCTCATTAACATAACATACAATATGTGTATAAACATGTGTCCTTAAGAGGCATGCATGACTTTATGCAGAAATCTACATATCATGACAAAGCTCCAGTTTTTGAATATTCATCTTAGTTATAAGATGGATAGTTCCTTAGTTATAAAAGGAACCCACTCACCCCTGCTGTAAGAGTTATGGCTTTGGAAATTATTTCCTATGATCTCCTTATTTGCTGCAAATAAGGTTTCCTCTGTGCGACAACTCCACCTGGTATAGTCTCTATCTGTAACTCACCAAGAAGCAAACTCATGTTAGTTCAGTTACAAAGGGATTTACACTTTTCCTGAAGCATAAGTGAATTCTTGTGAGTAGTTTCTATTTTTTCCTGTATCCTTCAGAGTTGGTGAGGAACATGGGCATCTCCTAAGGTAATTGTTTCAAAGACTTTCAAAGGCATACTATTTCCTAATCTGAGACTTATAAAGCTTATGTGCCTAGCTAGCAGAGCTGCTGAGAGTCATTGGGTGTGGGAGAGAGAGAGAGAGAGAGAGAGAGACTGGGAACTGGGAATCAGTCTAGGTGGTTTGTTGAATAATTAAACATATCCAGTACAATTTAAAAATTGCTAAAGTATATTTTTGTTAGTTAATTTGTGTGTAGTTGTATCTAATTAGAATTATTACTAGAGAGCAGCAGAACATAGTTATTTTGTAGTCCCTGGGAAACTTGAAACCATGAAACCATGAAACTTGAATCCATGAAAACCAATGTTTGCCTCTCAGTATACCCCATGTGGGCCCAGTCCAGACCCTTCTCTCCCTCCTTTTCTCCTTCTGACAAAGTCTAAAGTGCAAAAACACCAAAGTTCCTAGTGTAGCCCTAGAAGCCACTAAATTTAAGTGTGTAAGGAAAAATAGAAACAATCATGGTCAGAGGAGCCAGCTCTTCCTTGGCCTAAGAAACAATTAAAGATCACTATCTTAGCTTCTCTAATGTTTATGAAAGGAAAATTATTGTCATGTTACCTTAACTCTTGCATTGGCTGTCTCTCCTGAAAACTGATC